TCTCACAGTCATGGTTATATTTTATGGAGAAAATTGCATGCCTGTGCAAATTTGTCGCCTCTTCCTGTTTTGTCACCCAAACTCATCAAGGAACATCCATCCACATTCACGTCCACATCCACATAAGCTAAGGGCTTTCCTTGTGTTGGTGTGGGGGGTAACCGCTGCATACACACCCACACACACACACACACACAGATGCACACAGAGATACTCATATATCGAGCCTATAACAAGCTCTTGAGACATGTGAATGCACCCACTTTGGTGGGTAGCGCGCGCGCCTCAGACACTGCCTTCGCCTTGAAACCGCACACAGCGACATGGAGACACCCTCCAGTTGCACCCCCTCTTCCTCCCACCATACCCCATAGAGAGAGAGAGAGAGCCCCGTCCATGTCCACCGCCCGACCCAAGAGGCAGACTCTGTTGTTGACTTTTCAAAAGTGATTTTCTTCTTTCGAGTAGTACATTATAGCAACCCGAGTTATGCGGCCTGGCATGCCATTTATTGGATTACACTCAGCACTCACTCTCTCTCTCTCTCTCTCTCTCTCCACACTCACACTCTCTCGACTCTCTCCTGTGTCTCCGTCAACTCAATTGATGTTTGCTCTTCGAATGGATGGGTCTGACTGTACCGTAGCACCCGCTTACAAAGCATAAATCAAGGCATGAAAAGAAAACTATTAAAATAGCAATTACGCCAAAAAAGAAAACTGGATAAGCGAGCGAAGGAAGGTTACACAATGTATGGCATACTCCTCGTATGTAGATCCCTTGTGAGCCCAAGTGCCTAAACAAATATTGACTAAGTACCACAGCAAACAATGTGATTGCAGACTGCAAAGAGAGAGAGAGAGAGAGAGAGAGAGAAAGGAAAGCCGTGTATCCTTTGTGAGTGTGATAAGGATTAAAAAGCCGGTCGGTTGGTCGGTCGGTCGGTTCGAAGGTGAAACATGCAGCTAAAAGTGCTAAATAAATACAGGAATTGACGCACAAAGAGCGCTCCGTGAATTGAAATGAATTCTATTTCTCTTATTTCTCTCACTCTTCCTCCTCTCCTCTTTCTCTGGTGTGATAAGCTCCGTAGGTGAGGGGTGTGCGGGGAGCGGCACAAAATGGCTTCAGTCAGTCCCACAAGGAAACTGGGACGACAGACGGACGAGAGCAGTTCAGCTATTAACTAACAAGTTATTACTTCAGGTTGAGTTAATACCATAAAGGGCTACGCTACCCCTCCACTGCCCTACTGCACTGAGAAATACATATGTATAGTCAGTCGTAAGCCCTGGCTGGCTGATGAAAGATCTCTAAAACTTGATCATTAAAAGGGGAATCTGCAATCAGACAGGCCATAAAAAAGTGAAAATCTAAGCACAAACTTGGCCCGGAAATAGAAATTGTATGCTTAATTATTCTATAATTTTGCGCAGTGTATGGTGGCGGACAGTGGTTGCCCCATGTTGACCAGGTGGTCGTTGCCCCAGCAACCAACATTTATAAACAAGTTTTCCATGGCAGTACGTCATCATCACATCAGCGTTTATCGTTCTCGTTCTCGTTCTTGGTCTCGTTTCGTTTCGTTTCGCATTGCTTTGACTTTGCAACAAAGAGGATGCAATTGCGGCTGCAAACAGGAAGAGGAAACGGCCCCAGAAGGACCAATAAAAACATGCCCATCATCAAAGGACTCCTCCCTCTCCCTCTGCCTCTGCCTCTACCTCAACCTCTCCCTGTACCTTCGTAATTCTGCGTGCGCAAAACCTAATTACTTGCAAATACTTTTCAAACTCATTCCCAGCTGCTGCCTCGAGCATTTGAAGAATGTTTTTTCCATTATTCATTAAATGGGAATCTGGGTTGCACTGGGGAGGGGTCCTCCTCCTCAAATCGGGCAACTAATTTGGCCATTGGGCACACGCCCTGTTGAGATCTGGAGAGGAGCATCAATTGCGCATCGAAATGTTTAAGCGTAAATATTATTAAATTTATGATTTGCTTTGCACCCTTCAGAAGCTGTTTCACCCAGAGAGTGGCAGAGAGAGTGGGTGAAATTGCATTTGTATTTAAGGGCGCGATTGGAGTACTTGATAATGCTCACTTGAGTTTAATTCGCAATTTGCCATACAACAATTTGCATAAAAGTAAATCAAGAGCAGCAGAGGGAGGGGTGTCCATAGAGCTACTGTGGAGCGAGCAGAGCTGATCTAGCCAAGACTTGAATTAACCTAGAACCATCCATAGGAGTGGGAGAGTGGACCCATAGAGAATATGCTATCCCAGCACTTTCGCTGGCTCACCCATAATTGCACAATTATAGTTAATTGACCATGATCCGAGGATCTCCCGCATTCAGTATCTCGTATCCATGCCTCGATCAGAGATAAGTATCTCTGAGATGCTTCACTTCCTGTTCTGAAACTAAACCAAACAATAACCCAAATTTCGACAGCTGTCTGCGATTGAAGTTTCAGCTAAAATATTCAAATCCGAACTCAGCATTCTTTGCAGAAAACAAACGCCGACCGTTCTGTCCCTCCTCACGTGAGTAGTAGCTCAAGGTGAGGTTTATTATGGAAATACGATTTTGCTGTGGCAAGCACGAATGCCAGGCCAGGCCAGGCCAGGCCAGGTGTAAGTGCAATGCACATGTCTTTGTTTACTCATTCATACACAATTCTTCTCCCTCGGGGCTATCTCTTGCATGGCGCTGTTTGGCTGTTCAATAAAAAACGGAGAATAACCAATTGATTTGCATGGCAACACACAAATTGGCATGGACTCCCGACGCTCGAGTCCAGCCCAACACCCCGAAAACTGCTCTGCTGGCAGAACGGAAATGGTTGATTAGGGGTTCCTCCGTTTTGGTTCTTGGGCGGGACGCAGGCCCGTGCTTCTGGTACTGCTACCCTTTTCGCCTGGGGGGGGTTAGGGGTTGCTTAGACAGGGGATCGGATCGGATCGCATCGCGGTCGTTGTTTGTTTGCACTTTACACAACACAACACAACACACACACAAGCATACACAAATTTGCCCCCGGAGCCATTGTTTGGGTTACCTTTTTAGCTTGTAATTTATATATTTTGTATATTTTGTATTCTTCGATTGTATTCGCCGGCTATCAAAATAAAAATTATGTAGCCAGGCGAACGGAAGGTAGCGGCAGAAGGAAGGCTGGGGAGGGGCAGAGCCAGTCCTGGCCAGGGGTGTGACAGAGGGCGGGGCAGGGCAGGGCAGGGGCAGAAACCATGCTCTCAGGCTCGCTCATTGTTTGTTGTTTACTCTTTCTTTCATTCACGGTTCTCTGGATTTTTTGCTGCACTGCACCCCCCGCACCCTACCCCACCCCACCCCACCCCACTCCAAAGCCTAGGCCGTGTCTGATATGTATGAACGTAAGAAACAGCCCTCCACTGCAAAAAGCATTTGCACGGGCCGTTTGTTCCTCCTGATGTTTGCTTAAGCCCATACCTTTGCCCATGCCCATGCCCATGCCCAGGACCTAGGACCGGAGACCATCAAACGTTCCGTGGTATATACGGTACGTTTTCAAGTTGCGGAAGCAATTGCGCGTGCTGAAGTTGTCGAATGCCTCAAAAACTCGGAATGGAAATGGAAATGGGAATGCTGCATAAAGCACAAAAGGCAACAACTCCTCCAGTTCTCTTCAGAGCACGCCTTCTGCACTGCCATCTCATCTCTCCACCCTTGCAGTGCCTGGGATGGTTCCTGCATGGATGGATGGACGGATGGCTGCATGGATCGCCTCGTTGGCGCATTTCAAAGCCTGGGTTTGTTTGCTTAAGCTCTTTAAATTAGAGCGTGAAAAAGTGTGAAACTCCACGCAGAAACCTCCTGGTAAACACTGGACGCCCAGACCCAGACCCAGCCACAGACCCGTACCCTGGACCCACCCTAGGGCCTTTGATTTATGGGAACGGCAGGAAAAAAAAACGTTAAGCCATTTCTGACTTGCCATGAAGCGTATCCACGTTATTGTGGTTCAGTTTATAGCTTCCGAGGTCCATTTTTGAGCATGCTACTCAAGTATGGTATTGGGTTTGGATCCCCGCTCATAGAAGCCAGAACAGAGTCAATGTCAATTAAAGATTGCACAAGTTCAGTTCAGATACGACGCCCAACGAGCAGCGTACTGTGTAGTGTAGTGTAGTGTAGTAGGGTGTGCCCGCCATTCCTTTCCAGGTATTAAGCATTAAGTATCTATCGGATTAGTTACACTAATTGCTTTTTGGTTGCCGCTGCTGCTGCCACTGCCGCTGCCGATGACGCTGCGATCTTGTTAAGAAACCATTACGGGATGGTTCGGAGTACGCAGGGTTCATAGTTCAGGTAGAGATGGAGAGATAGAACAGCAGCTAGCACCTGTACGGGATTAACCTTGTACAAAAATGGTGCATTCTACCTGTGGACCAAATTATTTTATTAGCTTTTCCCTTCTTTTCGGGAAAGGCTCTACAAGAAATACAAAGAAATGGAAGAGACAAAGCATTTGGCACTTGTGCAGCATGGAATTTCCAATGAAATTTCACAGCGTGCACCCGCACAGCAATAAAATCAAGGGCCTCTGGCACTACCACTAGAACCGCTCCCTCAACGAAAACAATTGCGAAATAAAGCCACCGAACAGGTTGGCTGTTTGGGGTTGCTTGTGGGGCAGAAAGAAGGTGAAAGAAGACAGCAGGCAAAAGGCATAATAGCAACAACTAAATAAACAAAGCTTGAGAGGTGACGCCTGAGTGAGTCACGGTCACTCACACACACACACACAAAAGCACACTCTCTCAGCTATGGTCAAAGCGGGACAGACAGACAGACATGCAGAGAGAGAGAGGAAAGAGAGGAGAGCGCCAGAACAGAGCCCCCCCATCAAACGTTGTACATGTACTACAATGCATGGGTTAAACGCCCCACATCCCACATGGAAAACGGTAAATAGCAATTTCGAAATATAAAAGTTTGTGGAAGAAAGACTCACCCGTTGGCAGAATGGCATTGTTCTCGCGACGCCATGTGATGGACGGAGTTGGGTAACCGCTGGCAAAGCACTCCATTTGGACCTCGCTGCCCTCGCTGGCCACAATCGATTGCGTGGAGTTGTCGGAGATGACGGGCGGGCGGCGCACAGAGAGCTTGACTTCGGCGCTCACCTTGTGCACGGTGGAGATCACCACCTGACAGGTGTAGGTGCCAGCGTCCGTCTCCTGGATGTCCTTGATTTGCAGCTTGTAGGTGGAAGAGCTGGGATCGTAGCGCAGCGAGAAGCGCGAGTCTTTGATGACGAGCGTGGAGCCCGTGGAGAGGAAGACGGGATCCGAGTCGGTCTTGAGGAAGAGTACGTTGTACTCCTTGGCATACTGAACGGAGCAGTCGAACTCGACAGTGCCGCCGATGTCCTTGATCTGCTCCTGTGTGATGTACGAAATGGTTGGCGTCCTCTGCGCCTCTGCCTGCGTGGCGAGGAGGGCGAGTCCCAGCAGAAGGGATCCAGCTACCGTGCCTCCCACGTTATTTACCATCTTAGGGCGCCACATATTATTGGTGAAACTGTGTTGAATGAATTCTCCTGAGTTTCGCGTGCGCCAAATGTGAAAAAGCGCCCAGCACCACACCCTACACTATCGAGAGCTGTTAATAACGCGCGAGCGGAGCTGAGAGCGTGGGGAATGGAATGAATTCTTGGCTGAAGAAAAGACGCTCGCCAAGCTACGCTCCACGTAGAAGAGAGAAGCAAGAGAAGACGACTCCAAAATAACACAGGTAATGCTGTTTCGCTTGCTTGCACGGGCAAGAGCGGATGCTGTTTGCAAGACACACTTGTCGGCTCGCTCTAAGCTGGTTTTCAGACTCTTTGGTCTCTCTCAGTGCCGTGCCTCTTAACTGGTTGAGTATGTATGCATGTAAGCCGAGTTTGATCAGCCAGAGTACTTTTCACACACGACGCGACAATTAACAACTTGACTCTTCGAATGGCGCGCAACGAATAAAAAAGTCACTTCGAAAATTGCGCCTCTATAACTATACAGCAGTGTGACCGTGGATTCATCGATCAAAATACCGTCTCACCCTCAAAAATATACCAAAATATACCTTCTCATTATCGTAAATGTACCGAAGAAAATCATATACGTAACTACACACTTGCTACATGTCAACAACATATTTACGAAGTATGTATGTGAATACCTCTAATTAATGTTAAAATTCATTTTTCTCAGATAATCATATATTTTAATATAATTAGATTCTTCTAAATATATCTAGATCCTGATTCATGTTGTTCTTATCTCCAGGAATACCTTAACCTGTCAAAATTGGTTGCTTTAAAATTTGAAAATATTTCTTGTATACCTACTATGATGGATCTCGTTAGTTGGAGCGACTTGGCGGTAACATCCTTTTATTTAAAATAAGGCTATGTTCTTTACCATACCTCCAAAAATTATATTTAATAGATTGATGAAATTGATTATATATAGCATTCTATTCGGAACCCAATTTCGACGTTAAAATATCCAACCGTCACTCCTGACGAGCAATAATTTGTTAGTGAGGAAACGATATTGCTATCTATCGCTATTTTGTATATAGAGGTGGCGGACATTTTAATTTGTATCACATCACACATACGATATATCGTATTGACCGTTAAATAAGTGGCAGCGCTGCGTGCATTTCAAATATTCCTTCCCAAGGAAACCTGGGTACAGTCAGCAAGGTGGCCCAGCCCAACGCAGCACAATGCAACCAACATAATAATATATTTACCTAATAAACGCATAGTTACAAGTGGCAGCGATGTTTTGCGAAAAAGGTGACTTGACTGTGACCGCACCATGGAGATCTACAGCAACAGTTTTGTCTATTCTCTAAATACAAATTAGAAGTCCAAGTCACTCAGGCTGCGAGCAATAAGTTCGACCAGGAGGAAGTTGTTTTAGAGGCCAACCAAGGATTCTAAGAGCCTACTGCGCCTTTAGGGAATTCTCCCCGCAGGGCTTTGCCTTGGCAGTGACATCCTCTTCGAATTGCCACACATTACATTCTTCTTCTAACGAAATATTTTATTCCATAAAACGACATGGTACAAGTTACTTAAGATTCTAGGTATTGTTCATCGAAACTCCAGGACAGCGTGGAGCTACTTTTTACACATTGTACAAAATGAGGCTTCAATACAAGTTAATCGATTGGATGGCAACGACCATTGCGGCGGTACAAATCAAACAATTATTTCAATATCCGTTTCGATGATCAACTGAAATCGAGGATTCGGAGCGGGAGGATTGAAGAAAAGAAAGCAAAGGTTAAGAGCAATAGATTAAGCAAACCCTCTCTGTAGCTACAACATGCAATTGATGGGTTATTGGGCAAAAAAATAGGGACAAACTAAGAGATGTTCTTATGTTTAGCTACAATTGGGGATATATATATATATACACATATACTATACATATGTCATTCAATATGAATGAGTGTGCCAGGTTCTGGTTACATACATTTCTTCAGTCAGCAGCATCTAGAAATTTTGTTAAGTTTTCTGGGGAGGGGTGTGATAAAACAGGTGTGATATTTCATTCATTGAGTAAATCTTCTTGATCAATGTTAGCATTATTGTGTGTGTTCCCTATACAGTCTTTAGAAAATGCAAATAGGTATTCATATTAATAGCTTCGTTGTTTCGGTTGTTCGGTTCTGTTCGTTCATGGTACAAAAAGAATACAGGCACATAGCACATACAAAATTAAAAATTAATATCTTGTTAGCAACGTAAAAAAACAGAAAATGTTTACACAAAAATGAATATTAATGAATAGAACAGAAGAACATGGCAAGGAGAATGGCAAACGTCTAGTAACAAATGGATGAGCAGTGAGATGATATGAGACTCTTCGATTAATGCTGATATAGTGGCCGACGACGTCAAATCAATTGTTATAACTCATTCTCCATATTTGAGCGTACGTTTCGCAGCACATTGTGCGTTTTTAGTATTTGATTCTTGATGTCTTTTTCGACTTGTGCTTTTGCTTTGTTAGCCAGACGCAACTTTTCGTAGGTGTCTTCGAATGCGCGCTTGGTGCGGATTAGTTTACGCTTCAATTCGGCATTTTCTTGATCTACCTTGGCACAGTCGTGTGCTGTTGCTGCAGATGGCTGCTGCTGCTGCTGCTGTTGCTGGGACACATTCAATTCAATGTTGCCAGTGTCAGGCGAAACGGGTTCTGTAAATGGAATAATACAAAGATTTAGTGGATGGTTCTCCCTCGAAGAATCGAAATCTAAAATGCTTACCATCTTTAGCACCTGACAGCGTCTCACTCTTCATTTCCACAGTCGTGAGTAGGGCACGCTGTGTGGCTGGACACAGCTCAACGCTGGAGATCCGGCCGGCGTCGCTCTCTATACCCAGATCTGGCGAGAAGCTGTGTACGCGCCCTCCCCCCACTGCCATGCTGGCCGGCACGGTGGAGTGATTGCCAGTTGGTGGTCCCATTGGCACTGCCACCTCCTCCGACGTGTATCCCGACTGCGACACATCGCTGCTGTTGGAACGAGCTGGCAGTTGGCGCTGCTGCCCCCCTTTGAGGAGCTCCAACTGCAGCCTCAGCTCCTCTGTGCGCTTCTCCAGCTGCAGTTTGTCGCTGTAGGCCTTGGTCCGTTCCTTGACCGCCTTGGAGGCCTGCAGAGTGCTTTCGTCCAATTGTTTTTTGAGCGAGCGCGTGGCCAGCTCGTTCTCCACTAGAGTCTGCTTCAGCTCCAACTCGTTCTCCTGGTGGCACTCCAGGGACCTCTGCAATTCGATCAGCTGTTGGGCCTGCTCCTGGTATAGGCTCAAAGCCACCCAGTCTCGCTCGAGCGCCTCCTGGTGCAGGCGCTGCACTTCCTCGAGCTTCTGCGCTGCCTCCAGCCTCAGCTCCGCCAACTCGGCCTGTGCCTGGTCCACAGCCACGGCGTGTTGTTCCTCCATTTCCAGGAGCTGCTGCTGTGCGGCCTGCAGTTCCATGTCCGTGATTTGCGCATCTGCAGTCAATGTGCTCTGGGCCAGCTCCAGCTGATCGATCTGCTTGGTCTTTAGATCGACCAGACGTTGGAGCTCGTCCATCTGCTGATCCTCCTGCGTTCCGATGGCCTGCAGATCGGCCGTTAGGGCCTCGTTGACGGCGCGCAGTTGCTCCATTTGCAGGGAGATCTCCATGCAGCGCAGCTGCTCCTGCTTGTAGCGATTGTCCAGATCCACCAGTTGGCATTGCACGTTCAAGACGCGCTCATCCCTCTGGGCTATCTGCTCCTCCAGCTGAGCAATGCGCTCGCTGGTGCGACTGCGCTCCTGCCTGGCCGAGCAGGCGCGCCGGCCCTCACTTTCCGATTCGCTGGGCCGGTTTTCGGTCGTCGCCAGGCTGTGGGAGGTCTCCTCCAGTCCGATGCGGGCCAGGGAAACCTTACGGTCCGGCTCGGACCAAGCTTCCGATTCGCTCTGGTTGTCTAGCTGCTGGGTGGGGAGGGGCAGGGAGCGGCGCTCCTTTCGCTGCTGCTGCCCGTCTGTGCTGCGACGCTTCTCCAGCTCCCGCTTCAGCGCCTTGTTCTCGGCCTTTAGATGCTCCAACGTTGGACTGATGGAGGCACCACCGCCAGCAGAGGCGACGGCGCGTATCTCCTCGTGGGAGTTGTACGTCTTGTGGCTGGCATCGGCCTCTGCATCGGCATCGGCATCTGGATCGGTGTACAGCATCTCGGAGAGATTGCATAGCTGGGCGAGACTCTGATCGGCCAGCGAGGCGCCAGTGATGTTCAGCGTCATGTTGAGGCTCTTGGACAGGTCCAGGCTGCGGTCGACGGCTCGACGCATGGCATGCCGCCTATCTGCGGCCAGCGCACCGAGGACATCCTTGTGCTTGAGCAGCGAGTTGAGGAACCCGGCCAGCTCCTCCAGGCGGTTGGTCAGCACACCACAGACATCGGCGCACTCGAGGCGCCACTTATTCGCGCTCTCGGCGTCCGCCTGTACCTGGCGCAGCTCCTGCCGCAGTTGTCCAATCACCGCGCTGTTCTGCTGATCGTCTCCCAGACGATGGATGAGCACGTCCACCTTCCGCTGCAGCAGCTTGTTGCGTTCCAGTGCCTTGGAGTACTCCAGTTCGGTGAAGGACTGCTGCAAATCAATGGAGCCATTGGATTCTTCGTTGATCTGCGGCAGGGACTGCTGCTGGGTGGCGGCCACCAACTTGGTAAGGCGCTCCACCTCGCGGTTCTTCTCCCACAGCTCCCTGTTGACCAGATTCTGCAGATTGGCCGTCTTCTTCTTAACCTCCGCCTGCAGCTGTTTGATCTTCAGCTCCTGCTCGGCCATCGTGAGCTCGTACTGTTCCTTGAGGGCCGAGGATATTTCCAAAGAGCAGGCCTCGTTGTCACTCAGCGAACGGCCCGTTGCCGATGGCGATATACTGGCCTGGCTGCTATTATCGTTCTGCAAACACATGGACACATAAATTTCAGAATTGTTAACAGGCAATCCATCCCCTGGCAGCACTCACTTCTTTCTTAACAGAATTCTGCTCTGGCTGGTGCTGCTGCTTCTGATGCTGGTTGAGCCTTTTGATCTCCCTGTCCTGGCTGCTCAACTTCTGCATTAGCTTCTGTATGGTGCGGCAGGCCTGCTCGTGGATGCGTTCGCGCTCCTTTACCTTCTCCTGGGCATCCTGCAGCTCGCATATTTTGTCCGCCAGTTGGGCGTCCATCTCCTGCTTGACCTGCAATTGAAAGCAAACGAATGTCTAGAGTCTCTTTGGAGTAACAATACTCGTATTTATTGCCTGAAACAGCGGTTCGAATAATTCAAAACGATAAATTTGTTCCCCCCGAAAAATGTTGCAAACAAAACCGAAACTATTAACCGAAACTCGATGTATCCACGATGGTTACATCAAGTTCATGTTGCCCCACATTTTGGCAAAGAACTGGCGGAGTCCCGCAAGGCTGGGCAGCGAGTAGGAAGTTTGTAAGTGGTTCCCTGGCGCAGGGATTGGCAGCCGGAACAGTTCTCGGGCACAGTCATTATGCAGCATCCGCTGATACCGCTGACCCTGTGGGCGACGGGGGCGTTTAATTGATTGACAACTCCTGGCGATGAGAGGGTTAGGGGTAAGTCACCTTTTCTGCATCCACTGGCATTGCATAGCCGTTGCCTCCAATAATACTGACCGACGACGCCGAGCTTTGTTTGCTGCTGCCCAGCACACTGATCGCCGAGAAGTTTGAGTTCAGCGACGAGTTGCTGGCAGTGCGCTGCAGCCCAGGCCCAGGCCCAGGGTTGCTACAATAGGCGTTGTCCAGAGGAAACAGAGCCGCCTGCTGACGCCTTTTAGCGTTGAGTGAGGCAAAGGGGTTTTGACGCCGCAGCAAACACAAATCCACCTCCTGCCGACTGATGTTGGCCGCGTACTCATCCAATCTACTCTTCAGCTGCTTTCTTTCCCATTCCATTTTGTTGTTGTTTACCTTACTTACATTTGCCTCGTCGCTGCACTGCATCCCCTTCTCGAATTGCTCCAACAGTTCGGCGTTCTTGATGGCCAGCTCCTGGATCTTGGCCTCGCAGGAGGACAGCGTCTCCTGATGCTCGGCCTGTGCCGATTTCAGCTGGTCCTGGCAGGCTATCTGCCGCATGCCGGCCTCGACCAGCTCCTGCCTCAATCTCAGCACCTCAGAGTCCAAGTGTTTTAGCTTTTCATCCAGCACCGCTCTGGTGTCTCCCTCCTGGGCGGCTTCCATTTCCTGAAATGCCCAAGTGGGGAATAAAGACGGGAATTGGACGATCCGATCCAACCTTCAAAACACTCGACACTCACCTCGTAGTGGCGCAGATGCTGCTGCAGCTCATCGATCAGCGCTTGGCTCTCGGTTTCCGCCTTCATCTGCATCTCTTCGTGCAGGGATATGGCCCGAGCGGCGTCCTTCAGCAGCTCCGTCTTCTCCTCGACCGTCTTGCGCAGCACCTCGGCCTCAATCTTTGCGTCGATCAGCTGCTTCGACAGAGACTCGCCCGAATGGTTTGTCCGATTGTGCCCCAGCTGGCTCTCCTCCATGAAGTAGAGGCGCAGCTTCAGATTAAAGTTCTCCTTGCGCAGCGTCGACATCTGCTCCTCCACGTTCCGCATAGAACGGCCCGGCATGGCCAACGGCGAGTGGCTGTCGCCTTGCAGGCGGCCCGCATCGAAACTGGCATCTGTGGGAGAAACAAGGAAACGTCCAGGACACAGTGAGTGGACTGACTCTAAAGGAGAGTTTATGTTCGGTGCGCACTGCAATTGAATGAATTTCGCGACAAGCAGCGACTGCTTCGCGGCTTCCGTTCCATGCTCAAGTATAGATCCGTATAAAAATATATATATTCAAACTGGGAAGACCGCTTCGATGTGTTGCCAAACCCTAAATACTATAAAAATCTGTGGCTTCCACATTAACATTATTCGGGCCACCTACTGGGATGGGAAGCCTGGAAGCTGGAACTTCCCGCTGGTGCCTGGTACTTACATGAGTTTTCCATGGTCACATCTTGCAAGACTCCGGGACTGGTGCTGGAATGGAAAGAGTGGAATGGAATAATTAAGGCTCTGGGATGATGACCTCTGGATGACACAGCCAAGTAAAAAAAACACTCAAACTCAAACTTAAACGTTAATTAATATTTTATTTGCACACATATTTCGGCAGTGATGTCATAAATCCCACGAACCCGCGCCTGACCCCGTCCATACGTCCGTCAGGCACAATCTGCCAGCTCTGACTCACTCTCTGCACAGCCGCTGGTGGTGGTTGTGGTGGTGTTATCATTGCCCGTCTGGAAGCACTCATCGATGCCAGCAGCGTCCAGCGTGCCGTTGCAGAACTGACCGTACACCGACCAGGCCGTCCAGCCCTGCTGCCTCCGTATGACCCTCGCACACTGCACGGCCATGGTAATGTCGTCGCTCAGCAGCCGCGTGCAGTTCACGTTGCACTCGTTGAAGGCATAGTAATCCGTTTGATTGGGCGGCGAGCACCAGAAGCGATCGCTGATCTGGAACAAGCCATAGTCCCGGGAGCCATCCGCATTGGCCTGCCCCACCGCATGCGTGTTGAAGCGGCTCTCGAATTCCGCAATGCACAGCCACAGTGGCAGCTCCGACTTGGGCACGTCCAGGATGTAGAGCTGTCCGGCCAGATCGCAGGGCTTCAGTCGAACGGCCAGGGCCAGAACCAGGAAGCACAGGCATAGCAGCAGCGGCAGGCATAGCACTCCACCACTTGATCGGGCCATTCCAAGTGAGTTCCAGTCACGTACTGGGGCTCTGAGACGCTGGCTCTGACTCTGACCATCAGCTGTATCGAAGCTTAATCGGAATCCAAACCGGTTTCAATTATTTGGCCCGATCTGTTAGTGGAAAATCTACGGACAAATGCAACACTATTCTATTTGTGGCTTGCATTGCATTGCACTTTAGACTGGCGGCTATTAATTAATTAATTAGCTCCCTGCCTCCCCCTTATTCGTGCGCTGGAAACTAGAAGTGAACTGAATGTCCAAAACAATCCTAGGCCATATACGCTATATGTACGAGTATATTCGTATACTTTTAATGATCTCCAACTCTTGTAGGCTCTCAACTGAAGCGTAAAAATTGTAGCTCAGTGGGTTTTTATGGCATTAAAACTCTTTTTTGAAACTGAAATCGTTTGATAGCCGAACCGAACCGAACCCTCTTCCATGATCCACGATCATTTCGAACTATCTTACAGTTCTGGTGGCGGAACACACCCATTCAAAGTTCTGTTCTTTTTTTGGCAAACTGAATTTCAGTTCAATTCACAGTTGAATGAGCACAAGTCGTATGATGCTTAGAAGTCACTTCCGCCCCTTAAATCTATTCCCCATTCAGTCAAATGAATGAACCATTTACTTACCAGAATGGACTGCTGCCCGGGTTTAATGAGAATCGCTTGTACGGCGAGGAGCCCTGTGTTTCATTTGAGTTATTCAGAGACGTAGATCGAAATATACCCGCCATAGCTTTCACGTTTTCTTCAACATTAGACACTTTTATTTATGTATGTAAGCATGTACATATAATATTGTTCACTTTTTGAAGTAGGGCTGTTGCGGAAACTCTATATTTGATATTTAAATAGGTTTTTTTTTGGTTTATAATTAAGAGCAGACACGTCACCGCTTGATGTTGATGTTGTTGCTGTTCTTGGCTTTATTCCCTAAATACCGCGCGATGCTGCACGGCACACGACAGAAGATAGACGACAGACCACAGACTATGTCCCGTCCCAAGGGGCAGCAAACTATGAGTCATTTGCTGCTGCTGCTGCTGTCTGCTGTCTAAGGGGAGCGCAGTGAGCCGTAGGGCGGAAGAAGCTTCAAAGAACCCGACAACCCGGTGGATAGGCATAATATACTTCTATGGATTGGATGGACGGCGCACTCGATGCACATTTTAGCACAGACCAGGCCCCTGCCATAGATGCAGCAGCACTTGGACACTCTCACACACAAAGACCACATTTATTTTGGGAAATTAGCAAAACGAGCAAAGGAAGAGCCGCACGGCAGTATAACGAACGACAATCGCTGGCCAGGCCAGAATACACAGGGCGACGAAAACTCTGCCAAACATTTGCACTCATTTGTTGTGGCGACGGCTCTGTCCGTGCCATAGCTATGGTTACTAGAGGCGCTCTTGAAAATCAATGGTCTCCCGAACAACAGGTGGACCCTAAACTGTGCGGTGGGAGACGTGTTAGGACGTGTCCTGTTGACACCTGAATTGAACCCTCTCTTGGCTTTATAGCCCCATACCGCGGCAGGTAACCAAATTAATCCCATTGCCGCCTCAGTCATCTACCTGGCTACCTGGCGCGACTCTCGAGTGGGTGTCAGGCTATGGATAATGGCACACAAAGGCGCCTGCAGTCTGCAGTATTCAACAGAGCGATACAATAACAATAAACAGTAGTGCAGGAGCACAGCATATTGAGTGATATGTGAGGGTTGGGGGGCACTTAATTTGCCGTTAATGCGGGGACTCTGAATATACATACATACATATGTATGTACGTGCATCAGACACTGTACTTTATCCCGGCAAGGGTAGGCAGCCACACAAAGGAAGCGCAAACCCCCTTCCATCCGATCGGTACACGGGGTTAATCTCCTGCTACATACGCGTGTAGATATTAACTACACACATGTGTCACTTTCTGTTCGTCTGATAAGGTGGGATATCTACGGTTAGGAGGGCTTGGCGCTGCTGCTGATATGGGTGTGGATTGTGGATTGAGCAATTGGGAATCCGCTATTCAACAACAAATTAATTTCTATACTTTTCCGTGACTAAAATTAGCCACAGCATCGCTGGCGACACAACAAATTAACAACAACAACAACGACACTGACGGGCGCGAGAGATACTCTACATGCAGCGATGTACATACATATATGTATATATATATATATTTCGTTGTACATCCGCGCATAATCACACAATATTTTGTTCGTTTCGCATCCTTTACATGTTATCTACAGATGCAAATGCATTTATTTACATATATTCTGTAACCGTATAAACAATTGTAACTTCACTGTTATCTTCACTCACATATATGTATTTACACACGTACGATAGGCGACCCTTTTGATTATTTAAACTGCAAGTTTGTTTTCTTATTATTTACATATGCATGTGTATGTATTTATGAGTGTGTGTGTGTGATATATAGAACAAGAGCGAATGGCGCAAGCACAGCAAACGAATAGAATATCAGCGCGAAATTAATTCAAAATATTCTACGTCCAAATAAACCGAAAGCCAGAACATAAATGACTGAACAGAAACACGGAGAGACGGAGAAAAACCAGCAGCCTCATCTGCTCTGAAAAAGGAAAATGCGCTCAGTAAAACTCGCACACACTGAAAGCAGATGCTACGCATTTCCCACTGTACCCGGAGCGGATTGTACGCTGCTCTCGCTTGCTCTCGTGAAACTTTTGGGGTGGGTAACAAACGCGACGGGGCAGAATATGTATGTATATGTATGGCATGTGGTATGTACATAAGGGAGGCTTTCACGGACTCGGAGAGCCACCGCAGAGAGCGTATTGTATTATTCTCCGATCAGCAGATAAATATATTGCTTGCGCACAGTGGGTAAGATCGAGATGCGATGGGCGTACATATGCCCATCATCTGTTCTGGGTAAAATAAAAACAGTCTTCCCACATATTGGCAGGTATTATTATGCATTTTGGCTACTTACTCGTCCACACTTTTGGACAGGGCTTCTGCCAGTGTCCTCAGCACTTTTCTGTCTATCTCGGCCGCTCCATTCTCCTCGAGGAAACTGGTGACAGTCTCAATAAGAGTAATTTCCTTCAAGGACGAGGCGCAGGTGAGATTTGCGTTGTCGCAAATGTCGCGAAGAGCCTGCTTGGACTGATCCATGTCTGTGGGTCCCGCTCCGGTTGATTTTTACTAATCTGTGGTATTTTGGTTAGCTTATTTCAGCGAAATTTTAGTTTTAATTTGATAAGACACAAAACACAAACAAGTATTGTTTTTTTTTTTTGGAAAAATTACCGCGCATTTTCAGCTGTTTTCGGCGTCTGCTATCGAAACATTTTCCGGATGCAACCTTGTCAGTAGGTGCTGCAAAACCATCGATGGCACTATCGATAGTATCGACTCTGTCGTGTGTCGATATTGTGTTTACAAAAAATTTACATTTTTCTGATAAGCAACTAGCACACTGTGGAGACAGATATAACGCAATGCTATAAACGCTCCACAGGCACGTTTATTGAGCGTCCGCCCGCACAGCTAGACCATTCCCATTCGCTTTGCTTGGATTCACAGGCATACACAAAAAGTTTCGATTCGCAACAGCAGGAGGACGGCCCGCCTGGCCTCGTAATAGCAGCAGTTATCAGAATAGAATGTTTGCGACGCTGAAAAACAAAATCAAGGAGGAGACCGGCGAAGATGTGTCTACGTCGGCATCCCAGCCCCAACAGCAGCAGCGCTACGCTAACAACAATAATTATCGGCTACGGAGCCGTCGAGTTAGCATTAATTCCAACTCGGCTGATGATATGGGCGGTGGCAGCATATACAACGAGGTAAGATCCAACAATATGTCTATTTTTGTGTGTACAAACACTGGGATAATGGTTTGACATCTGTTTTTTTTTCCATACGATACGCCTTAAGTCTGAACAACTGTGCCAGTTGCGGAGCCAATGCAATGAGCTCACCACCAAAGTCTCCAGTCTCGGCCAGAACCTGCTGCAGCTGCAGGAGGAAAAGTTACGCGTCGACAAGACCAACGAGATCCTATTGGAGAGCGTGAGGGTGGCCCAAACGCAGAAGGATATGTACTGCGAGGAGCAGGAGAAGATTCAAAATCTACAGCAAGTGGAAATAGACAAGCTGAAAAATCTTCTCAGCTTCCGCGAACAAGAAGCCGTGGATCGGATGGGCTCGATGCGTCAGCATAGTCAGCAAATTGAGAATCTGGCCGAGGAACTGGAACGCCTGCGTCCGATTGAATCAGTTGCAGAAGACCTGCGTGATGAGCTGCAGCGCCTGCGACATGCCACACAGCAGGAAAAGAATCTTCTGACCACCACCCTGGCGACAGTGCAGGAGGAGAACAGAAATCTAAAGCTGCGCATGGATATTGTAGAGGAGTCTCGACTGGAATCCCTCACCAAGCTTAGCCCAGAGCAGCAAGTGCAGGCGCTCATACGAGAGCACAAACTGCTCGAGCAGCATTTGGAGGAGGCCCACCTGCAGCTGTCCGATATCAAGGGTTCTTGGAGTGGACAAAACCTGGCGCTGGAAACGCAAGTTAGTCGACTATCAAAGCAAGTGGCAGAGGAAACGACTGAGAAGCGTAAGGCGCTCAAGGCACGAGATGATGCCATAGAGACCCGCAAGCAAGTGGCATTTGAGCTGGAGAAAGCCATTGATGAAGTCAAGCAACGAGATGATAAGGTAAGCATTCATATAGCGCAGCGCCAGTATTCTTATGCCTTGTTTACGCAATTTGAGTGCAGGTTAGGCTACTGGAGGAGGAGATCGATGAGCTGAATCTGGCTCTGAAGGAATGTCGAGAGGAGAACGAGCAGCAAATCCTGTTTGAGCGAAACAAATCTGTGAGTATGTCCAATGAAGCTGACGACTTGCAATGGGACTTGTCGCACTAATTAAACCGCATGATTGAGTACTAACCCAAACCTGACTAGTAGTTTGATTTGTTTCTAAAAACCCATCTTTTGGCTAAATGAACTATTAACCAATTATGTATGTACCTTAATTTAATGGTTTTTCCTTTCTATTAAACTGTTTCAAACTCGAATTGGTAGCTTCTTTCCTTCAACAACATTCCCATGTGCCTATTCCTATGTATATTTAACTGCCACGTAAACGAATAAACTGCATTTTCTTAGCAAATTCTGGAAACAGAGGTTAAAGATCTCAAGACACGCCTCGCGGCAGCCGACGACAGGTTTGGCGAATATTCCACCAACGCCGAGCAGGTGGCAAGGAAACTGCGAACACAACTGAGCGAAAAGCAAGACCAACTCGAGGAGACCCTCATCCAATTGGAAGTCGAACGCGAGGAGAAAATGACGTCAATACTTCGAAATGCGGAGATCTCTCAAAGCGAAGATATACTACGGCAGCAGCTGCGGCTCGAGCGTAGTGAAGCGATCGACTTGCAGGATAGAAATAAGCAGCTTGAAAATGACATGTGCGAGGCCCGGAAAGACCTGCAGCAGGTCAGCAGTGCGGCCCAGGAAAATATCCAGAAGCTAGCTGAGTATGAAGCCGTACAGCTGGAGATCATGGAGAAAAATAAGGTGAGATGGAATGGAAGTGAAGTGTTACTGTGGTAGTTAGACTCAATGTTTCTATGCTTTGCCGGCAATCAGACAATAAAAACGCTAAATCAGCGTTTGGTAGATCTAAAAAAAACCCTGCAAAAGGAATTCCGCAGTTCGCAAATCTCCTCAGAGAGTGAATCTCATCATCAAGTGATCACTCCCTATAGAAACCATAGTGCGGCGCTCGAGTCGCTTGCTGGCGGCGACAAAGCCAACTGCATCATAATGGACGAGGTCAATTTCCAATATCTAAAGCATGTTATTGTAAAGTTCTTAACGAGTCGAGAGGTATGTTTTCACTTAATGTTTTCTCATCATAGTATACCCTGTTATCATCTGTTTGTATGCGTCCTGCTAGGTCGAAGCCCGTCACCTCATCCGTGCCGTCTCAACATTACTTCAGCTGACATCCGAGGAGGAGAAATTGATACACGACACATTGAACTGGAAAATGAGCTGGTTTGGCATGAAACCTGCTTAAAAACGCCCTTCCTAGAACCGCTCTTTGCAATATTTCACATTTCTATTTGTCTTCTAGTCTGTAGTCTTCATAATGTTCATGCATATGTACAAATTACATACGCCACCCACTCTGTGTTATTTTGTTCATCAACAAGCATTCCTTTTTGTTAAATAGTATTATTACTTTCTACAGTTGTGATTTTTATAAATAAAAACCATTTGTGTAAACGATATCATCTCGAAACGGCCTCTTTTTGGTTTGCTTTTATTCCCACGCACTCAAAGAGTACAGGGGTATGTAGCACTCAGAAGAAACGCGTTCTCGACCCCATAAGGTCTATAAATTCTTAATCAGAGACTATAAGAGCTAACTAGAGCAACCTAATTCATAAAGAACTATATTATCTACCAGATAGCTGAATACGGAAATAGAGACCACAATTTCCCGGCGTAGCGAAAGGGATGGAAGGGAAGCAGTAGTTTTCGCGCAAATAGTGACATGGGTACGGCTTTTGGCGTAATATACCGTTTTATCTCATGCCATAACTGTCATTCAGATAAGTCAGTTAGCTAAGTCAAGTCTAGTGTTGTTCCTAATATGAACAAACGATAGTCACATCTCTAGCAGTAAGTGTCATCACCAGAATCATCTAAAATAGAAAACTAACGGAAATCAGCCATTACAGAGAGCGGACAGAAACACCGCACACACACATGCACAGAGAAAGAATTGAGATGTCGACGAGCAGACAAGATAGAGATGGCGCTTAATGTGGCGTAATAAAGCCAATATGGTAAGGCATACATGGACATTTAAAAAGGGATACAAATACGTACGAATAACTCGGATTCACAAATGCGATTAATTTTATCAGGCGCCACTTATAAAGGAAGTACATTTTCAACAGGTTAATAATTTAAATATTATTTTTTTGTATTTCGACTCTCCAGGTCCAAAGCCTTTGCAGGTCCGCATAATGATAGAGACGCATGAGGCACTGCAAACGGTTGGCGATATTGCCAGGACAAGAACTATCAAGAGATTTTAGCGACGAGATCGTTGGAAACACTGAGGGAGAAAACACAGTCTATGAACGAAGAAAGCGGATGATTTAATGAACTCATGTTGCTCTTTTCCATAGTCAATTTTCCCCAGTTTCTCTGTTCATAATATTTTGCTTTACACATTTATGGAGCGAACTTGAACTATTCCGGAAAATACACCAGCAAATATTTTGCTATGATTATTTTTTACTTTTGATTTTCCATTTAATCCTAGCTTGTTGTGTTGTAATGTTTCCCCACATGTTCCTATAAATATAAACAATTGAAAAATCGAATACCGGAGCTCTGCGTCAACGAGCGGTTGACTCCTGACAACATCATCGTCCAAATATTACGAAAACTCAATAAACCAAATGTGATTTTGTTCAAAATACTGGTTTACATTTAAAAATATTGTTTGTTGTATATTCTTTTGTTACAATAAACGTTCTCTAAAATTACCTATAAATATGATATTTATTGTTGTTTAAGTATTGATTAAAAAAGAATAAACACACAAGTCATATGAATAACTAACTATTCATTTGTTTTATCTACGAATAAATCATATAGGATATACGTATTTGTAGAATAAACAATAAAACACACATTACTGAGGCACTTTTTGGTGTTTATAACGATTAAGAAGACATTTCGAATTACATACATACATAGTTGCGCAGCTGTCAATATTGCTTCCATCCACAAAAGTGTCAACTATTTACATACACTTGCCAACTAAATACATATTATTAAATTAAGTCTCCAAGTGGTAAATGCTTTCGGATCATCGGTTGAAATTATTTGTAGATACGACGACGGTTTTTGTGAAAATTTCTGGCATTCATTTGTTTTTTTTTTTTTAGAAAATTTGGCACTCTGAATTTTAAAATGTTTCTTATCAAATACTGTACTCGTATATGTATTGTATCGTATATGTATCGTATCGTATCGTATCGTATCTAAGATCTATGGCTAATTGCTAATAATTGCATTTCGCTTACAAAAATGTGTTGCAGTCTATTGTTGGCGCGTATCTTTATGATGCATTGTACTGCAATCTATTTCGGTATCTGGCAAAATGAAACTTAACGAGATCGAGAAGGTCCTCCTCAGGCATTTCCACCGCCCCACCCAGCTGGAGGCAGGTCACGGCATGGGTCGGGGCGTTGGGGGCGCTCTTTAAACTAAGATTAAAAATAGTTAAAGCCTTAAATGACCAAATTATAAACACACATACATATTTACAAAAAAAAAATATAAACGTTACAGAAAGTAGAAATAGTGAAAATTAAATTAAATAGATTACAAATTAAAACACTCCGCCTCCAATCCATCCATCCATCCATCCATCCGTACGTATAATGATATGTTTCTCAATCGCCTTCGCCATATCCATTTCAATTAATTTATATGTAAATCTCAAAACGTTACGTAAAACCTCGACTGGGCGACTGTACAGGCGATGGCGGTGGCGGCAGTGGGGAGAAGTAGGTGGAGCTCCTCGAGGACGGTGATGGCGGGCAGGAGGACTCTGGCACGATGCGCACATCGCTGTGGTAGTGCGAGCGCGGCGTTGGTGGCGGCGGATATGGCTCGCTGTCGTAGCCGTACTGCAGGCAGGCGGCAGCCGAGCTAGACGAGTGCTTGGTGGCTCCGCCGTTGCTGTTATTACTGTTCGACTTGCTCGTGTAATTCGAGTCGGACTCGTCGCAGATGTCTGTGGAGCAGGGCGTGGGTGGTGGCGGCTGATTGATGATCTTGTAGTGCCTGTACGGACGCCGCGATCGAGTGGCCGGCGAGGGCGGTGGATTTATGGGATACGCCACCATGCTGCTGCCATTCGTGGTGGAGCTGGAGGCCCCCGTAATGTGATTGCGGTCATACGAGTTCATGCTGTTCCGCGAGTTGAGCGTGGACATGCGAACCGCATCCGCCACGGAGGCAATCTTGGACACGCGCTGCGACTTGCTGAGCGTCGAGGGCGACAACGGATCCGAGGCCTGGTCGTCCTTTGGCTCTGTGCGGCTCTTGCCGATGCGCGTGCGGCAAAATTGCAGCAGATAGACAATCGAGAATATGGTTATCATGGTGGCCCCAATCAGTATCATAAATGCCCGCTTATCCGAGGCGGGGGCCATGCGTCGCTGCAGGCAAATGTCGGGCGACTCGTCCGCTCCGTCGGCACAGTTCTCCCAGCCATCGCACAGCAGGGCCGCCGAGATGCAGAGCTGATGGGTAAGGGTAAGGGGAATACGATATGGTTAGCTCCCAAACTATCTCTTTGCATTCGTCCACTCACCTTGTTGATGGGACACTGAAACTCTCCTGGTCGCTTGCAGCAGTCGGCCTCGTCGTGGCCATTGTCACAGTTGGTGGTGCCATCGCAGACCAGAGCCTTGTCGATGCACTCGCCGGACTGGCAGCTGAACTGATCCGCACGGCACGTGGGACAGCCCACCTCGTCCGACTTGTCCGGGCAGTCCTTTTGGCCGTCACAGCGCCAGGAGGCGGGTATGCAGTCCTTGTTCATGTCGCTATTGCCCGCCACTGGGGCCGCGCACGTAAAGTGATCCGGCCCACAGGCCGGAAATGCGCCGCAGTTCTCCTTGTCCTCCAGCAGCATCAGATGCTTGGGGCACGAGCAGACGTCGCGAGAGCTGCGTGCCACACCCTCCCCGCTGGCTATGCAGATGTGGGAGCACTTTGTGCGGCTGTGCAGACACGTGTGGTTGCGCAGCACTTTCGCATCCGGTGTCCACACGGCACGGATGTCGGTGATCTGCGGCAGACGCTGCAACTCCGCGGAACGGCGCTCTCCACTGACGGTGATCCGCTCCACTCCGGTCTTGTCGTCCAGCCAGTACACGAATCCCCCCAGCGCGGCAATGTTGATCACCTGCGAGATGTGCATGGAAACGAGAGTTTTCCTATTGGAGGGAAAAAGCAGATTAGACATTTGTACAGAGGATCCCCCATACTCCCCATCTTCGTTGCTCACTTGTTCTTGCCATTGATGTCTATCGCATCGATTCGCTTGCCATGGGCATAGTAGATCATGTCCGACTGCTGGTCCAGGGCCAGGGCCGTGACTCCCTCCAGCTTGTAGGCCAGCTCCACGCGCTCATTGCCGTCGACGCGGGCCCGTATGATGGCCTGATGGCTGCCGACATCTGTCCAGAAGAGCAGACGCTTCATGGCATGCACGGCAATGTTGCGTGGCTTCTCCGAGTCCCCGGTATCGATGACGCCCACCGATTCGCCCAGGAAGCTGAAAGAGGCGACGTTTTAGCAGCACAATTACGCAGCTGAATGGCAGAGAGACTCACCTGGTCACGTTAATGCTGTTGGAGAAGGAGCAGGTCCAGAAGAGCAGCCGCCCAATGATGTCGATGGCAATGTCGAAGGGCTGTCCAGAGTTGGCCAAGAGGCTCACCTTTGTGCCATTGGCCAGCGAACGCTTGATGCTGTGACTTCTGCCTTCGATCTGGAAGGAGTTCAAAAGGAAGGACTAGAGACGCCGCACTCAGATCCATGGCCAGAGTCTACTCTGTACTTACCCAGTATATGTAATGCGAGATGGGGTCATAGTCGACGGCTCGGATATTCTTGCCGGACACCGGCAACGGCACATTGGGGCAGTCTGTGGTGTTCGGCAGCAGTCGGCCGAAGCTGTTCCTCTGGCTGAAGATGATGTAGTTCTTGGGCGGGATGCAGGAGACCCCGTCCTTGGCCAGCTGGTAGTGGGTGGGGCAGGCACAGGTCATGCCCCGTCTGCCGGGCTGGGCCAGGCACAGGTGGGAGCACCCGCCGTTGTTCATCTTGCACGCGTTCGCCCCCACCTGTCGCTTGTCGTTGAACACCAGCAGCGAGGTGATGTACGTCATGCCCGAATGGACGAGGCTGCGGTTCTGTCCCGTCGTCTTGTGCACCCGCTCAATGTCGCCGGTGTTCCAGTCGCTCCAGTACACGTAGTCCTGGTACAGGGACACCGCGTACGGCTCGTCGGTGTCGCTGCTGCCGACCAGTATCTGCCGCTTCTTGCCATCCCAGTCGGCGCTCTCGATCTTCGCCGGCCGCGACTGTGTGGCCCAGTAGAGGCGCCTCGTCTCCTGGTCGAATGTCAGCCCCGCCGCATGGTTGGCCCCCGCTATGATCGTCTGCAGCTCTGCGCCGTCCATCGTGGCGCGGCGTATGGAGTCCGAGGGCGACTCCGTCCAGTACATGTAGCCGCGTCGCGGCTCGAGGACCAGCGAGCGCGGCTCCTCCACCCCCTTCCACAAGAGCACGCGCCGACTGCTGCCGTCCAGGCGGGCGACCTCGATGCGACGGGCCTCCGCATCCGACCAATAGATGTTGCTGCCCAGCCAGTCGACGGCAATGCCGTCCGGCCCAATCAGACCCGAGTCCACGATCCGCTGCACGTAGGAGCCATTGAGGAAGGCCCGGAAGATGCACTTGGTCTTCTGGTCGGTCCAGTAGATGCGCCGCTCCGCCACCGACACGTCCAGGGCGTGCGCATCGCGCACATCCTTGAAGGGTATCCGCTCGTCGTTGTGGTTCCCCTCGTTGTACTCGATCGAGATGCGGCCAATGTGCTCCTGGCGGGAGAACAGCAGAAAGGCGGCAGGCACCACGCAGGTCCGCTTGTCGTTGGCCAGCTCATAGTCGATGGCACAGCGACAGACGTAGTCCCGGGGCCGGTTCAGGCAGAGATGGGAGCAGCCCCCATTCCCCACGGCACACGCATTCTGGCCACGCACCTCCCTCAGGCGGGTCACCTTGAGGCCCATCAGATCGGGATACTGATCCACGACGACAATCCGATTGTTGCCCGTGATCTTGTGGGCCCGGTCGATGGAGCGCCGCTGCCAGTCCGTCCAGTACAGGTAGTCGTCCAGGATGCTCAGCCCAAAGAGATGCTTCAGGTTGTCGCTGATCACCACACGCCGGTCGGAGCCATCCATGTTGGCCACCTCGATCTTGTCGGTCTTCCCGTCGCACCAGTAGATCGTCTTGGCCACGATGTCCAGGGCGATGCCGTTGGGCCAGCCGAGATTCTCGGAGACGAGCACCACACGCTCGGAGCCATCGAGGGAGGCCCGTTCCACCTTCGGCTTGCGCTCGTTCCAGTCGCTCCAGAACATCCAGCCCAGCGACGGGGCCACGGCAATGGCTCGCGGCTCCTCCAGGTGCTCGTAGATGAGCACCTTGCGGGCGGAGCCGTCCAGGCGGCACACCTCAATGCGATCCGTCACCGTGTCCGTCCAGTAGAGGTTGCGGGCCAGCCAGTCGAGCGCCAGGCCATCGGGATGGCGCACCTCGGAGGTGACAAAGTCGGTCACAGCCGTGCCATCGGCTCGGGCGCGCCTGATCGTGTAGGCCTCCACATCGGACCAGTAGATGTGCTCCTCCACGGGATCGTAGTCGATGGCAATC